TAGTTTTTAGTTAAAAAGCTTAAAATGGTCTTCAGTATGGAGGGAAGCCAAGATTTGGTTTAGACAGTCTCTTTAGTTTTTTAGTTTTAAGATGATTATCTCAAAGCAGGTTTCTTCCTTACGCCATAGATTTCTCAAACAAATGTCAACAGTCACTAATGTCACAATAATCACATAGTATTTATCAGAGGATTTAGATAAACAAGGCAATTAAATCGGTTATTTTATTATGTTAAATAACTTGCCAGAATTTGGATTTTACTATGATGTTATACAATTTCTGAAAACAATAGTTACAATTTTAGAAAATATCGTGCCTTATCAGGAGTTCCCCAAAAATAATTCTTGGAACTCTACTCTTTTTATTTTTAATGGATAATTTGTCTAAATTTCTAATACATATAACAAAAATTTAAATATGCGGATGACCTAAAAATCTTATCTTCAATAAAATGTAACTCCGATTGTGATTCCCAACAACATAACCTTTAACATTGTCACTAACTGGTGTTTGGAAAATAAACTTTACTTAAATGTTAACAATTATAAAATTGTCTCTTATACAAGGAAAAATATTTCTTTAAATATGAGTATAAAATAGACAATAACTCTTTATATCTTATTGAATTAATTAAGGATCTTGGTGTATAACTCGACTCTAAGTTAAGTTTTAATCAACATAAAATATTTGCAAAAATAAGTCAATAATTCTTTTTGGGTTCATATTCGGCTTAAATTTTTAAAGGGTATAGCAAATTAACAAGAGTAACAGCGACAGTTTATAAAAATTTAGCACGCGCTATATCCCACTTTATGATGAATTGATTAGTGGAGAGTCGTTCCTCCCAGTACACCCATGATACAAAAAAATACAGAGGTATTATACTTAGCCGACGAATTCTCGTGGAGTTCACGCATGTCGTATTGTGGTGGGGAATATGGTTATCTGATTGGACATGAACATATTAAAATTTATTTTTGAGCGTTGTTTTCGAAGCTCATACGTCAAGTTCATAAAAGCCACGTCTTTTACCACATTACGTCATCTTGACTTATAGTATCAATCTGCGTAATACACATACTTTGATTTTCTTTTACTATACGGAGAATGGTCGCACTGCGCAGCTTTCTGAGTGCCTTTTAAAAGAAGATAGAAAACTCCGCCATTTTGAACCCTTATTACGTGTTGCCTACATCTTGGCGCAATATTTTTTATAGGTGCGTTTTAATCATCCGCATCTGCTTCGGAATTGTTGGTTTTCTTGTTTTAATCTGACAGGTTAGAACGACTGAACCGACAATTCCGGAAGCAGAAGCGGATGATTAAAACGCACCTGATATTTTTCTTGCTGCTGTCAGTGTCAGTGAATATTATTTTTGGAGTCACAGTTTATTGCTAAAGAATCAGTTAGCTCACTCGGACCAGTTGAAAGTTCCAAAATAACATCCACTCCAGGGATACAAATTCAGGATACGTAGAAGACTGCTGTTTTATTATAGGTGGTTGTCATATATTGTGTTATCTGAGTTGCGCAGTGTATAAACTGGAACATTGAGATAAAAAGTGCCGACGCAGAGTGAGCGATCTGATTATTTAGCTATAAACTGTGTCATAGGGTTCAAAATGGACGCGCCCTATGTTGGGCGTGTCGGACCTCTCTCTTGCCCCGTATAGTAATCAAAGTATGTGGCGTAATAGCATACCTTCCCTTTATAGTATTGTTACGCAGCACCCTGTAGTAGCCTGCGGCTAACATAGGAAACGTACAGATAGAAGAAGAAGTGGAATGTTACTCATCGCGCTACAGTGTGCTGCGGTCGTTATAAGTAAAAGTACAAGTAAAAGAAGACAGAATATTCCAGAAATGTCCAGAAATGTCATTACACGTCAAGAACATTCTAGATGACATTTCGAGAAGGTTCGAGAAGGTCAACAAACGACGACGTCAGAGTTTTAGTTTTATGGAAGACGTTATACGTGAATGTTATCAGTTGTAAAGTTATTGTCAAAGTTGAATTATTATAGTTATTGTAAAGTTCAGTTCAAATAAATTGTGATACCAAAAACCAGCGTAACATTGGTGACAGCGGTGGGATCTAAACTAAAAGTTCATGGTAAATACTAGATCTACCGAGTACGAAGCAGAAATTGACACTTTAGGCCCACCAGCATGGTTTTTGAAGATGGAAGAGGAGAGAGTAAGGCGAGAAGAGGAAAAGGAACGGCGTAGGAAGGAAGAAGAGGAGGAGAGAGTGAGGCGAGAAAAGGAAAGGGAAAGGTGTAGGAAGGAAGAATAGGAGGAAAAGAAAGAAACGGCGTAGGTAGGAAGAAGAGGAGGAGAGAGTGAGGCAAGAAGAGGAAATGGAAAGGTGTAAAAAGGAAGAACAGGAGGAAAAAAAAGGGCGTAGGAAAGAAGAAAAGAAGGAAAAGAAACGGCGTAGGAAGGAAGAAGAGGAGGAAAAGGAAAGGCAAGGCAAGAAGAGGAGAAAGAGAGACGCAGAATGGATTAAGAAGAAGAGAAGGAAGAGAGGCGTAGAAAAGCTGAGATAGAAATTATGAATGGTTTGCTGCAAATCCAAGATAACCTTAAGCAGGAGGTAGGTCAGCTAAACACCGGAGTAGATCTATTAACACAACAACAAGATAATTTAAAGATTAATTTAGAACAACAGCAAGATAACCTAAAAACCAATTTACAGGACATAAAAACTAATTTAGAGCAACAACAAGAAAACTTAAAGATTAATTTAGAACATCTTTGTCATCAACGAGGAAATTGTCCTAAATTCGAAAAAAAAGACACAACCGATAAAGGTCCTAGTAGAAGAAGACGTAGAAGTACCCCAAAATTCTGAAGCTGTCGTCTCGGCGAGACTTAGCGAGAAATCACACGGCTTGCACGTGGGCATTGTGGAAAGTGAAGAATCTGTGAGTGACGGAATTCTGGTAGCTAGATGTCTTGTTAACGTTGATAAACCAATTCTAGTAAGGGTTGCCAATTTATCACAGAGACCATTTAAACTGAAGAAAGGACAAGAAATAGGACTCTGTACACCGTTGAAAAAGATAATCAAGTGTGAAGATCGTTCCACAGGGAAAGCCACCACAAGTAACTCAGTTGACGCCAGCTTCGTAAAACAGATAGTTAAAAATAATAACCACCTGACAGCTGAAGAACTTAGAAAAGTCAAAGAATTCATCAATACCAACTGTGACATTTTCGAGACAGGAAAATCTACAGGGCGTATCAGTCTTCTTCAGCATAGAATTTATACAGGCGATACAAGGCTAATACGACAAGCACCTCGAAGACTTCCATTTGCTAAACAAAAAGAAGTAGCAAATATGATACAAGACATGATGGCTGCAAATATCATTGAAGAAGCTTCTGGTCCCTGGTGCTCACCTGTGGTCCTAGTAACTAAGAAAGACGGATCTACTCGTTTCGGTGTAGACTATAGAAGATTAAATCAGATAACACAGAAAGACAGCTATCCACTCCCCCGAATAGACAACACACTAAACACTCTATTAGGTGCAAAATGGTTTTCCACGCTAGACTTGAAGAGTGGATACTGGCAAGTAGAAGTACATCCTGACGATCGAGACAAAACTGCTTTTTCAACTGGCAGCAAATTATACAGATTCTAGGTTCTCCCGTTTGGTCTCTGTAATGCCCCAGCTACCTTTGTACGTCTAATGGAAATGGGTTTGAAAGGATTAACCTGAAAAACCTGTCTAGTGTATCTCTATGACATAATGATCATGCCAAAAACTTTTGATGAACATCTAACAAATTTAAGTGAAGTATTTGACAGATTAAGAAATGCCAATCTAAAGCTTAATCACAATAAATGTTAACTATTTCAATCGGAAGCTTATCATTTGGGACACATCGTTTCTGCGGAAGGAATCAAAACTGATCCAAAGAAAATTATCGCTATCAAAGATTGGCCTAAATCAAGAGATAAAAGAGAAATTAGAAGTTTTCTTGGACTGTGCTCATATTACCGGAAATTTGTCAAAGATTTTGGCCGAATTGCTAAACCTCTTCATCAACAAACTGAAAACAGTAGTCTATTTGACTGGACACCGGATTGCCAAAATGCTTTTACCGAATTGAAAAAGCGATTGACCACAGCACCCATCCTAGCCTATCCTCGAGAACAAGGACAATTTATTTTGGACTGTGATGCATCCCAACACGGCTTGGGCGCCGTGCTATCCCAAGAACAAGAAGGGGAAGAGAAAGTAATTGCTTACCTTAGTAAGACCTTGGGAAAAGCTGAGAAGAATTATTGCGTCACCAGGAAAGAACTATTAGCTATTGTCAAAGCCCTTGAACACTTCCATACTTACCTTTTTAACAAAAGTTTTATTATAAGAAGTGACCATAGTGCCTTGCAGTGGCTGATGAATTTTAAAAAACCTGAGGGACAAGTTGCTAGATGGATAGAAAGACGTCTTCATAGCAACGCAGATATTCTCTCCAGGTGACCCTGTTTAGAACGACAATGCCGGTACTGTAAAAGGCTTGAAAAACGAGAGGAGCTGGTCTTCAGAGATTTTATAAAGATCATACATTTCTACATTTTTTTTCCATAAACGAATTAATAGTAACATGTTTAGAAACAATATTATCTAATATGGCGGCCATTTTGACAGCTGCCAGAAAATTTTTAATACACGATTATTATACAAAAATGTCCCAGAAATTCAAATTTAGAATAAAAAAAGGGGGTTTCAATTTAAAAATAAAAAATAAATTGCGATTTTCTGTTATTTCCGGAAAAACCGGAAGTAATCCATGACATCACAGAATAATTGAAATAATCATAAGAAGGCATTTGTTCTAGTCTTTCCATCAAAATATGAAGATAAGGGGGGGTGGAACTTTTGAGTGGCCCACCCTATTTACAACGAATTTTAATGAAACCCATACCTGATAAGCAAATATATATAACAGTTAACACTAATTATTTAAGTTTAATTAGGTATAATCTTTGTCAGACGTGCAAACAGACCCGGAAGTTTTTTTGAAAAAACAATGAGTAAGTATACTATAAACATGTATTACTTTTTGAATATATTAAACATTTTCTAAGAGATTGGGCCAAAGTAATTAGGAGCACCGTAATATTTTTTATTTTGGACGAAAGTAGAAAAACTAAGTTTAAATGTGTAATATACATACTTTAAAATAATTTTTCATTGTGAAACTGAATGGATACTATACATTTATTAATTTATTTTCCAATCACCATGTATAACATAAACTAGATACCTTAAATACAGAGCGTTCGCATTACCCTTGTCTTAAAAATAATTCACCAATGAAATTAATATAATTTAACAAATAATTGTTATCAATAACTCTTTGAATTATACCATACATTTCGGGAACATTTCATCCATTAATCGTTTCACATTATTTCTGAATTTTGTTTTTTTTTTAGAATGTAGGTATTAAAACTATAGTTTTTTTTATAATAAAAAAAATACCTACACCCAAAAAAACACAAAAGAAAAAGTTAACAATAACTATTTCTTATAGGTGTCCATGATGAGCAAAAATTAAAATTAAAGTTTTTATAGCGTTTTTTTTTGTATTTAAAAATAGCAAAATTAAAGGTTGTCAAATTATGTTTTTATGATTTTTTCTAGATTTCTGATTAGCTTTAAATATTTTACACTTATTTTTGTAGTTTTGAAATAAATCCCTTATTATCAAAATGTCTTTGTAGCCCATGACCTGAAGAAAAACTAGTCTGCTTAAAGTTTTTTATACATTTTTGAAACAAGGGCAAACTATTAAAAAAGCAATGAATTAATTTCGATTAATTTTAGCTTATTTTTATTTATCAATTCATGCCATGGAGTTTTCTTAAAACAAATTATTTATACAATAAATTATGACAGATAATTCTTAAAAAAGTTTTTTTGTGAATTTGCGGTATTAATAATAATTGTGATAATATGAATAATAATTATTCTAACGTCGAATTACGAGACATGCCTTATTATTACGGAGTTGCTAGCGGAATTGCATTAGCAGCAAGATGTTTTGTATTGTAAAGCAATTCCGAATAAAAGTATACCCAGTAGTGAATGTTTAGTACTCTTCATCAAAGATTTGGTGCATTTGGAGAATTTAAATATAAACTTTGTAGGTCGTCAAAGAATTACTAGAACTCCTGCACCAGAAATTCGTATTCTTAATTCAATTAAAAATAATCCTAAAATAAGTGTAAGGTTAATTGCTCGTAAGAGAATATAGGATTTGTCTGATGCTGAAGATCAGCATCTGAACGTTTGCCTAATGTGTTGCCTAGCCTTACAAACTTAAAAAAGAAGATACTTCACTTGGTTTTTCTGATTTTGGTGGTTCGGCTCCTTTCTGTAAAATAAATTGTAGCTCTGTTTGGTTAAAGACACTTTATTGTTAAAATAAGTACATAAAAAATACATATTGTCTTTTTAATTTATTTTACCAGTTCAAAATCTGGTTCTTCGCTGAATCCATCCACATTGTCGACGATGTCCATGCCGGTTATATGTTCATAAAATTACATGCAATCCTTCAAAATTTTATGTGTATCACATATTTTTTGTTCTCTATCTTTGGTCCTTAGTCTTTTTTCCATCAAGCCACAATGGCATTAGCCGGACGACCCATTTGTTTTTCTGATATTTTAGCATACGTGTTGTCTTTAAAATTTGTTTTTCAGAAAAATGGAAAGTGTTTTTTTTTATCAAAAGTATCTTAACAACTTTTTTATCCACAACATCCATTTTTCTATATAATATCTTAATACACGATTTACCTGACCAAATATTGAGCTTTCCTTCTCTTATCCATAAGTCGAATTCTTTGAGATATTCGTTTTTAATACTTCATACTCACTCTCACAGAGAACCAAATAACGAACTGTCATCAACTCTCTTCTCTATTATGTAGAAAGCAACGAAGCCGCTTGAATTGCTTATGCAGGCAGACTTAGTCGATTAGTTCATTGACTAACAAATAACGTTAGGTACCAGAATGTGGCCTGGATCTTTTTTGCAGTAAAGGTTAAGGTTCTTAATGCAATATATTGCGAAAGTACAAAAAATCACAAATTTGTGGGTTGCTTCCTTTCTGCAAAAAACCGTACAATTAGACATCAATAAGGACAAATGCAACCAAGAATACATGCTCTAATAACATTGACTACTACTGGGCCGACCCTGTCACAGCTATCGGAAAAACGGCAACACATTAGAAATACATTGCCTATGCCTGGCCATACTGTATTCTAAATGTCCCTCGAACTATAGAACTTCTTAACCTTCTCATACATAGTTTGTATTGAACAAATTTTTTTCAGTGAGAGAATCGGTTTACGTTGTAATGTACATTGAAAACTTAATACATTTTAGACGATGCTGTACAAGAGTTTATTGAAGAATTGAAACGTTTCGGAAACGCTGTATTGGATTCGATACCTTATATTCATCTTCACAATTAGGAAATCTCTGAATATGTCAATGATAGCTTAATTGGAAAGTCGCTGTTGCGTAGAACAGGAGTACGTGGGTTCGAATCCTCCCGCTACGCTAGTAGAACTTTTTCATTAAATTTTTTTTCTCCTTGGAAGTTAAAAAATATTTTTCATTATTTCGTAGGGTTAATGTTGGTTTTCTTGGGAATTTATTCTCAAATTTTTTTCAGTTTTAGTAATGAAATATTTAGCTATGAATTTACCACTATCTTATCAGATAGTTTTAAGCACAACTTTGAAAATGACATACTTTTAGATACTAATAATAATTTTTACTTCTACGTTGAAATTTTATTTTTGGTATGTCGATGATATACTAATATTGTATGATATTGTAGACAGGCTGTTTGAATTTGTTAAATAATTTCTTAACTAAATAATCGAAATAACAATTTCAAATTGACACTAGAGTTAAAAAACGATAAAACATTAAATTTTTTGAATCTAATAATCTTAGACAAAAATAACAATAAATCCTTTTTCGACATGTTTAGAAAACCAACACATATAGGTACAGTCATGGATAATACTTCCAGTCATCCAACTACACATAAATTAGCCGCTTTTAATTGTTATCTAGAACATTTACTCAATATACTTTTGCAAAATACTTTAAAAATAAGTTAAAGATATTTACCCATAATTCACAAATCGCTGCACAAAAACTTTACTCTAAACATTACTTTGTTTCGGGACATAGCCCGAAACAAGAGTTTTGGACCGCAGTCCTTACCCGAGAGTCCTTTTTACTGCCTTGTCTCTTTATATAAACCCAAAATTTAGGTGACATTTTTATTTTTAAAAATGTTACACTCTACCTTGAATTCCCTAGAGTCATTAATTAGAGTAATAACATGATTATTTGTTTTGATTTCCATACGTGTATTTTCTTTGGAATTTTTAATTTAAAACATAAATACTTTTTTTACAATTTTTAGTAAATTCTTTATATTTTCTAATAATAATGCCAATTGTTACATTTGTCACCTGTAGCATGTCTCGCCACTTCAAAATTTTAGATATAGGTAGTGGATATTATTTTATCGTTAAAAATGATTATTTAAAATGTATTTTTATTAATCTGTTGCAAATATAATTTCTTTCTGTTGAATGTTGTAACTACCAAATGTTAAATCTTCGTCTTTACTTAAAATGCTTGTCAATTTTTTTGTGGATGTATCTGAATGATATAATTTTATTACCCATTGGCTAATCATTGTTAATTATAAATTTCAATGTGATACTATGTAATAAGTCGGCGTTACTTTGCAATAAAATGTTAATTTCAAAACACTTATTGTCACGATCCCCTTTTCTAAGGGTCAAAAGAATTATTTAATGTTATTAATTGGGGCTACCTTTCTTTATGAAATAAAAGTCGAGTTAAAACATAACAATTTTATTCATCAATAAATAACCAATATTCAAAATTTTGACTAGCTTATAGAAATTAACCACATAACAATACTTACCTTTAATCAAATTAAAAATAAATGAGCATATTGACTATATAGTTTTCTCAGACGTGAATCCGGCTTTTCAAATAGACACTTTTGGGGACAATAGTTTTCTGGGAGAGAGGGCGCAAATTATTCTCTTTTTTTATTTTTAGAAAGCTAGTGAGAATTATAAACTTTAGCTTTATCAAAAGAAAATTAATTAAAACTTATATAAAATTTAGGCAAAAGAGAATTGTTGAAACCTTTAAAAAAAATAAGATTCAACATATGAATTTATAAAAATGAATTAGCTTATTCAGTAAAAAGCTAGTGAAAATTCTAAGAAACAAATAAATATTGAACTTAAGCTGGTAAAATTAAATTTTATATCTCCAATATTAAAATAAGTTACTATAGTTACCACTATATTGGTTTGGGTGGCAACTTCCTTAGGATACAGCAGAACTTCTGTAATTCTACTACTCGAGCACGAATATAAAATCTCGTTCTTTCTATATTTCTGCTTTCAGGAAATTGCTTTATTTATCTCCAATGTCCAAGATGGAAGATATAGACTTTGAAGTTTAGGTTAATGTTAATTCTAGTTGTAGTTGTAGTTCTAGTTCTAGTTTTAGTTCTAGCTGTATTTATTCATTTTCTAATAATAAAAAAAATTCTGTTTTTCACGTGGCTCTTGTATGAGATATAAATTATTTTAAATATCTACTTTTTAAAATTAAATCAAGATACAATAAAAACTATTTACTATAAACACTGTGCAATTCCAGCAACCAAAATGAATTACAAAAGTATTATATAAAAAATTTAACTTGACTTTAAAAAAAATAAACTTATAACTATCAACAGGTTGAAATATAATTTCTACTGAGATATTTTTAGACCGACATTATACTTTTTTTACTTACCAATTGTACAGCCAGATATTAGTAGATACTATAAGATAATATAGGGAAATGAAATTTCAAGACCTAATGGCGCTATCGTCTGCTTTACTGTACTCCCACTTCATGAAATTTCCCTTTCTTAGGAATATTGCCTGCGGCGATAATTGAATTTAAATTAATCGAATACTATTTTATACAGGATGTCACACAATTAAAATAACATTTTTAACTGAGACTTTAAAATGTTACAACTATTAGACTTTGATGATGGCTTTTCGTCGAAAATGCTCAAGCCAATTTTATTAAATAAAAAAGTCTATTTCATTCACCTGTTTAATATTTGGCTTAATTAAGTAATAATTAGGCTTCTAACATTACTAATACATTTTTAAAATTTTAGGTTTTAACTGTAGAGAAGACGGTTTAGGAGAACTATTATTCAAATGTTTACAGAAATATGGTAAAAAAGTATTACAGGTAATTTCATTATGAAGTAGACTACATTAAACAATTTTTTCACAACATAACTCCATTTTATTTATTGCAATGTATTCTTTAGTTTCCTTAATTATTGTAACTATTTTTTCTAACACTTTTGCTATTCTATTATCATCCATTCTATGTGACACTCTATGAGATTCGCTGCAATATACAATGTATTTTGAAAGTTGAGTCTGTATTTTTATATATCTTGAATCGGGGTAAACTAGATTTGACGATCCAAAATGTAAGAAATGAAAAATAAATAAAAACCGCATTTCTACGAGACTTCCGTACACAAATACGATATGACGTAATTATTGTCATAAATGTGTGCAATATTCACCAATAAATTTTAAAAAAAAGTTGAACAAACCTATAAAGGCTTCTGCAAAACCAATCAAACCTTAAATCACTCAAAACCTAAAAGCACATCATTACGTGAAATAAATGATGATGATGATTAAATGTTTGATGATGATAAATGAGACAGAGTTAGGCATCCAAATGGCGGCACAATACGCCACCTACGCTTCAGTGCCGCCATGAGAACCCCAAGAGAAGGGAAAGCAGGCTAGACCCCAAGCATGATTGGTGAAGTCCGCTGGAACCAATCAGGGGGGAGCAGAGGTATAACTAAAAGGTTAAAAGAACTACTCAAATTAATTCTATGAAAGACGTTTTAAAAGGTTACAATAAGTTAATCGATAACAGTAATATAGAAAAAATTTCTTTAATTTCACACATAACAAGCATAGCCAGAGACAGTATCTGTGCCGTAGTGCACAAAATAAGCTCAATAAGAAATGCATTGTATTTTAAAAATACTAATATTTAATAATATTTAATAATATTTAATAATATTTAATAATATTTAATAATATTTAATAAACTAAAAATCCTAAAATTCTAAAAATTTTCGGCTTTAAAAAAAAAAAGTCAAAACCGCAAGCGGACCTTGCGTTCTAGAGTTTTCGTGTCTGCTTATGCATCTGTGTCTGTAACGTGTGGAGGGTGGGTTACCCCCATGGCACTTGGGCCTCACTAGTTCGTGAGCCAGCCAACAAATTCAATGTCGATGACAAGCCAAGAGGTACTTCTCTTATATCGGCCGGTGTAAATTTTTATGTTTTCGGTACCCAGACAACTGCACTGTAGGTTAGCATAGATCTTATGATGGCCGTGAAAGTCCATGCGACGACTCTGACAGAGAACTGAGTACTTTACCTCTATTGTAAAGTTTAGTTTTGCGTTTAAGAGTTCTGGAAGTTTTAATTCCACTTTCATTCTTTTCCTTGTGAAAAGAACCATTTTCTATAAATAAAAATTTCCTTGGTTTAATCGGTCATTCTTTTTATTTTTAATCGTTTAGCACAGCACTACATATGTTTCGGAAATTAATTTTTTTCCATCTTCGGGTGCCGTCAAAATTTAAAAAAATAAATAAAAAACACGAGGGGACGATTACAGTTTAAAATTTTTTCATGGAAAACAATTTCAGACTGATTGGTCGATATGTTTTTGATATAATTCATCCATCCTTTTATTATGGGTATTAATACCACTTTTACCTATCCATTTTTTGGGTATATTTTTAGAGCCAATGAGGATCTGAATATATCTACCAGGTGCGGTGTGAGGTTCAGACCCTACTGAGAGAAGCTCGCTATTGCCCATCTAATTTTGTCATCGTCTTCAATATGTTTGGCAGTTTTTCAATCATAGAAAGATTGGTTTTATTCTTTCTCTGCCCAGTTGGTTACGTCTGTGATAACCGAGTCAGGGAAGTGTATTGACAGCAGAAGTTTGATCTTATCTTCGAGGTTGACAATTTTCATGCCATACTCTTTGATTAGCGCACCAATGCTTCGGTGTGGATTATTTGAGAGAGCTTCTTGAAGCCTCGCTGCCTGCGGGAAATCTTAGATTTCTTCGCAGTAGGATCTCCATTCATGCGGTAGTCGTCTGACCGTGTTGAACTAGCCTCAGGAGACAGGATTTCTTATACGTATTTTTTATTATGGCTTTGGACAGTGTTCGAGTGCTTTTCCAAAGCATTGTTATTGTGTGATGTTTCGGTCTGCACCTCTTTTTAAGTATCTTGGAGAAGATGGGTGTGGTTGCCGTGTCTGTCTTTCTAAAGATTTGAGATAGCGTGGAGGTCAGCAACAAGTTTATTTTTAATGTCAACCAGCGATGGTCTGACATCGAAATTTTAACAGATACTTGTCAGTTTAGAAATTATTTATAGATACGAGTACCATCAGTAAAAATAGTCTCATATTAAGTGGAAATATCACTTTTTATATAGTGTAGCTTGCAAACAGAATCATCTCTAGAAAGTGCTTTATCAGCCCTAGGAATGATAGGCTGTCACTGTTCTAAACGTTTAGGATCCTATAAATAAACAATAACAATGATAAAATTAGTATTCAACAAAAAAATTACAGTGGTAACTCTTAATCTAACATCAAAATTTGTAATAAAATAAACTACACTCGACAAGATACGAGTTGTGGCCAGTTTACAATAAATATTATATTTAGAAATAAATAAATTATTTTATTTAAACTAGAAGCTTTAAAAATACTTTAAAGTAATTTTTCCTTGTGTTTTCTTTAGTTTTACATATGAATTATATTCCGTTTCACAACCAACAACTTGTACTCAGATACTTTTTCACATTATTTTGATTCTTTTTACCAATAAAAAAAAAAGCACTTTATTTCACATTAGTTTTCACAGAAAATAAATTTTAATTTGGCGAAATATTTAAAAAGAAGGAAGAAAGTTTGAAATTGAACTACTGGCGATTCGTTTACTTCTCTCTACTCTTCATAATCTCTACGTATAATAATTTCTTCTAGCTTAGCATTTATTTCCGGATGACTCTTATCATCTATTACACGAGTTTAAATTCTTTATTTGCATGGAATTTCTATATTCTTTCCAAAAAATTAACACCTAATGAATAATTTATAGTTTTTAGATGACACAAATGACGTTAACACATTCTCGGATATTCTAACGAAAAGTGTCAGGACAGCAATTAAACTTAAACAAGATGGAATTAGTCGAGGTGATATTGTTTCCAGCTGTACCCACAATCACAAAAACTCTATCATCCCTTTCATTGCTACACAGTTTTTAGGCGCAATTTCAGCAACTTTTGATGAAAATCTACCCCAATTGGATACTGTACACTTATTAAAACTAGTTCAACCCAAGATCCTGTTTGTTTCCGAAAATAGCCTAGAATTTATGGAAAAATGTGTACATAAAGCAAATATTAATACAAAGTTAGTAGTATTTGGCGTTAGTAAAGAATATACTGAATTTTCGAAATACGTGGAACCTTGCCATGAAGAAGAAAAATTTTGTCCAGTTCAAATTGAAAACCAAAAAGATACAGCGGTGATTGTTTTTAGTAGTGGCACAACTGGTTTACCTAAAGGAATTTGTTTGCATCACACACCTTTAAAAAATATAACTAATCTAGTTACTACTCTAGATGAAGAAGATGTGATATTATATTATGCCTCGCTTTATTGGATTGGTGGTATAAATGTTTTAATCAAAGTTATAACTAGTGGATGCTCGTGGGTCATTTGCAAACGATATGATCCAGCTTATTCGTGGAATCTTATTGAAAAATATAAGGTAAAAACAAAAAATAGCTCTTAATAATAGGGAAGCCCAAGCGGGGATTTTGGGATTTACTAAAGCGCGGCAGATTAATAAACAGGAAGATACCTTGTACCCAGTTAAGTACCTCCACCAAATATGAGCCCCATATGTAAGGCCGCCCGTGAAGGATAAAGGATCAGATTAGTAAAAAAAAAATTGATTATCAGAAATTCTCGAGCGCGTCAGATTAAGGTAGGGTGAGTTAATTACATGCTAAAAAGTGTATATTCCACTAATCTGACAATTTGAGAGTGACGTAAAGAAAGGGGAGGGCAGCAAAGTTGTAAGAAAAAAAGGTCATCTCGACATTCTCGAGCGTAGCTAAATTTTTTTTTTTTTATTTGGAAGGAAATAATTCAAGGATAACATAAAGTATATAATCTGACGATTTCCGCAAGCCAAAATAACAAATATTTGTCGATAAAGTTTAATGCGTGCAGCTGCGTGATGTCTATATTTCGCTCTCCGCGCTTCTACTATTTCTATCAGAACTTCTGATACTGACATAGTGGTCATCATGTTAGCGAATATGGAACACCTGCAAGCAAGAGTAGAAGTTTGGATGGATCTTGGAATTAGCAATGCACGCCGATTCATCGACGAATACGCTCTCTACAAAAAATTAGGCCCACAAATTTCGAAGGCGCTTCCAGCTTTGCATGCGTTCACTGGTTGCGATTTCAACCCAGCATTGTACCGACGAGGGAAAAAAAACCTTTGCATTTTCTGATGAATTCATAAATTTTCCAAGTAGCATTTCTGGATTTGGGATCAAAGGAGCATAATGTGCAGGATTTACTTGCCACTTGTATGGGTTGAAAAACTTAGACGATGTCAATCAAGCCAGGATTGTCATCTTTAATAAGACGTACAAGGTAAAAGACAAATCACAACCCTTCTCCTTGAGTGTCCGGAATTACGATGCGTGCAATTTGCCACCCTGTGTATCGGAGTTACTCCAGCAAGTATTACGAACAAGATTCAACTAAGTTCAATGATTTAAAAAAATATTTTTTTTTTTTGTCAGATTAGGCGAATCCCTCTATATAATCGTCAGATTATGATACCAGCACGTCTAGGACATAAAGAGGAACCATATATATCATAATCTGACACGCTTGAGTATTTCAAAATGGCGAAATATTTTTGCACATTATAATAATGACCGCGAGTTTGCGTCACATCGAAATCGTCAGATTATTGAATGAGAGCTTTTTTTTGGTTCACTCAACACCCCCTTTGAAAATCTGACGCGCTTGATTAAATTTTTTTTTATTTTCAACCCATACGTACAACCACCCGCATCATGCAAACGATCAGATTAACATACGTATATTATTAAAAATACGTAAGACATTGATGCTATCAATATCTGACGCGCTCGAGTATGTCCATGCAACAGTATTTTTTTACATATTTAAAAATCTATAGCCGCTTCCCCACCAATGAAAAGGTATATATCATATAAATTTTTTTCTTCTTATCATCTAAGCTTTGCAACCCAATAGGTCTCTATGACGCTTGAATAAATCCCCATTTAGCATCGTGGGCTCCTCTGCTATAAATGATTAATGATATTTCTAAATAAACAACACGTACCAGGGTCTGATTAAGAAGGACGCTAGCTATATCTAAGGTACAGTTTATCGTATGGATGTGATTTTTTTCTCCAAATCGCTGGAAATTATTTTAAGTTCTTAACTTCGCCGTAACGCTCATGGTTAATGATAAAAAATAAAGAAAAAATGACAAATTAAGTTATGGCAAAAAGGAAATTCTTAATCTGTTCGAAATTTTACTCAATTTTGTTTATTTATTTATTTATCCATCTACTGCAGGGGTTCTTAACCAGTAGATTGCGACCCCCATGTGAGTCGCGGGACGGGTCTGAGGAGGTCGCGAGGGAAGGTGATATACATATACCATACGAGTGGCGGATAATAAATGAAGCGACCATATATTTATTTAGAACCTGAGTTAAGTCCGCTTGTTTAACATCAATTATAACCAATGCAATACGACTTTAAAACACAAATACGATTATCAAAAAGGAACAAGTGAAGCTATAAATAACATCGCTGCTTAAAATGATGATGCCCGCCGCGCCGCTTGTATCTTAACGTAAACCTTATTGTTGACAAAAGTTGTTTACTCAGAAAAGACACACCACTCAAAATACATTGCGAAATTGCAAAAAAAATACTCCAGCAGAATGATTTAATGAAAAATTTGAGCTTGCTTGGAATTAACTAATTGTTGAATGTCTGGGTTGATTTTTGTCAAACACCAAATAATATCATTTTACAGTGTCAAACGATCTCTTGATTTTGTTTTTAAATTTATCATTGTGGAAAAGCCTTTTCTACAATTGTAAGAAGTAGAGAAAGTTGTTAAAAGCTTCAACCCTACTTTGATCAATTTTGGGTGTTCTTTCTTTGTATTTAGCCAAAATTTGTCGGGGCAAACATCGTCAAAAGTAAGTTTCATTGACTGATCACTTGATATATCTATCAGTTCGTCGTGGAGGCCAGCATTTAGTTCAGTTTTTTGAACAGCTTTTTTAGAAAAAAGTTTTTTTATCCACATAGATCAATTGTATCTTTAACAAGAATATAATCATTTAATTCTTTATCAAGCCTTCAAGATGTGATGATATGAGTAATGAGAGAGATGATATGACAATGGATGTGTCACCAATACTTAAAACATACTCTTTGAATTCTTGTGTAGTTTTTTACAAATGTATTTACTCGGTCTTGAGCATACATAATAGTTGTGTCTGGTCATTGTAGGGATAAGTTCAAAATGTTGAGATGAGAAAAATATTAGCTAAGCAAGCAAGTTTTATCAACCATTTTTTATCGCTGAAAAACGGGATAATTCCGGTTTTCGGTCCATTAAAAAAAAAGCAACAGTTCTGATTTCAATGAAAACAGCCTACTCAATACGTTGTCCCAAGACAGCCATCTCACGTCGATGTGAAATAGCAAATGTTTGTGCAGGACTCCTATCTCTTCACATAAGTTTTCAAGTAATCTACTCTGCAATGGGCGACTCTTAATGTACTTAACAACTTTGATAGCCTCAGCCAAAACTTGACGCAAGTCATCTGGCATTTCTTTAGCTGCCAAAGCTTGTCTATGTAAAAAAACAATGCATTTAGCATTAAAGTTTTCAACCTGGCCATCATACCACTGTTTTTTCCCGAAAGGGCTCTTGCTCCATCACTACAAATTAAAACACATTTGTTCCAACCAATTTCAAAAGGTTCAGTTGCTTCAATGGACACGTTAAAAAGACTTTTACCCGTGGCATGGTCTGGCAAAAATTTGCAAAATAAAACATTTTCGTTAATAGAATGACCACAATTATGCCTAATAAAGCACAAGAACTGAGCTCAGTTAACGTCAGTTGATTTGTCGCCATGAATCGACAAAAACGTGCTTTCTTTTATTTGCATATTTAGCTGGTTCTGAACATCTTTAACCATGTCTAATATTTGATAGTGGCATTGTTCAGCTTCTTGAGGATTACTTATATTTAAAACCATATCGATTGCGATAGGAAGAATTATTTCCTCAGCAATGGTATGTGGCGTCCCCACTTTAGCAATCTTGAGTGCTTCCTCGTACAAAGCTTTAGGACCATTTTTGGTAACATCAGCAAGATCTTTAATATTTACCTGTTGACTTCGAAGGGACAGCAGTTTTCTCTGGAAAAACTCGACTGGTTAGTTTTTTAGTGCCAAATGTTTAGTTTTAAGATGACGCTTCATTTTTAAAGGTTTCATGCTTTTAGCTGATAACACTTCACTACAAATAACACACTGAGGTTTATTTTCAAGTTCAGAAAAACCAAACTGTAGATATGAATTATCATACTTTCGGCATTTTGGTTTTGATACTTCGGAATTCTCACTACTTTTGCTACATAAAGAATCTTTTTTTCAAAACTTATTCATTAATAACAATAAAACACGTGTGTTCAATTTGAAGATCGAAGTACGCACAGAATAACCTATTATTTCTGTGCTATTATTCAAGACGTCAGGCAATCGACTGGTGCCAGGTACCTGTCTTACTTGTCGGAGGATACGTCACGCCGTGCGATGGCTGCGCGCGCAGCCATCGAGCTGCATGTCAGGCTATGTCTCCGCTATAAACACACCACGCGTATGATCTGTAAATATACCACGCGTAGTCCTTGCCTGCTTTGATATTGAAGGATTGAAAATGATTCAAATTACTTTCATGATACTATTACAACCGGATCGTTTATTAATTTTTAATAAATAAGTGCTCACCAACGCCTTGTTAATAAAGTTTTGAATAGTAGTGGTTTTCCTATTAAAACATGTTTTATAACAATTAGTTATTGCTGTCTTTTTGTGTACGGAAGCCTACTTTACCCCTGATCTAATGAATAAGTTCAAATTCTCTTGACCATGTTTACGTTTAAATTTATTTTCCCAAATTTCTAAAACACATAATATTAGGGCCGGTGTTTCTTCTTATTTGGACATGCGGTACATAACAGGCGAACATAAGCAAGCTATACATACATTATTTGTTACTATAAGTCAAGACTATACTTATGTATCTGTAACGTGTGGAAGGTGGGTTACCCCACGGCACTTAGGCCTCATTAGGCTCATTGTGCCCCTGAGATGAAAGGCACCTCCTAGCTCGTGAGCCAGCCTACAGATTTAATGTAGTTGACAACGTCGCCAAGAGGTGCTTCTCTTATATCGGGCAGTGTTAGCCGATACTCGCCAAACACAAATCTTCTAATAAATGAGTGCGTTGAGCAATCGTTAAGGATATACTCGATGGTCTCATCTTCTTGTTCGCACCCTCTGCAGAGTGCGGATTTTGACAGCCCATTGATATGGAGATGCTTTTGTACTTGGCAATGACCAGTCAGAATGCCTGTGGCTAGTGAATTAACAAAACGGTTACCTCACGTCACCTTAA